GTTGAGATGTAAACAAAGTCATTCAGAGTGGTTTGATGTGAAAGGCTTTATTCTGGGTCAGAATTGGTTACAGTGGTGGTGATAGAAACCAGACATCTGAAGAGTTTAATGCCTCTAAAGGCTCCCTTACATAAGGTTATAACCTGAATTGGTTAAAATTACTCTGCCTGATGCCTGAGATATGACAGTTTTGAGAAGATTTTGGCCCAAAATGTATTTCATAAAATACGTTGATGGCTGAGATGTACATGCAGGGAATTGTAAAGCAAAATAGTCCCCAAAGAAAACTTTAGTTTTTTTGCTTCACCACTATTTTACCATTATCATACATATAAAACATCAGAAGACACATGTAGGTTCAGTGGTCATTTTGGATAGTGAACATGGCCAGATGTGTGTTGTAGACACTGTGACTCCTGGTTCCTATCACCACCACTGTAAAGAAATCAGTTTCTACAAAAATTTAAAAAACACTATGGTGAAATTTCCCAAATTAGAAAAAGTTGTGATGGTATGGAAAATGCAAATAAAAAAAGAAAGCAGTGATTTCTAAAATTAACTTTGACTTGTATTTCATTGCAGACAGTATGAACACAAGATACACTAGATGGACAAAGGTATTGGGACATCCCTCCTAATTATTGAGTTCAGGTGTTTCAGCCACACCCATTGCTAACAGGTGGATAAAATTAAGCACATAGCCATGCAATCTCCATAGACAAACACTGGCAGTAGAATGGGTTGTACTGATTAACTCAGTGACATGGCACTGTCATAGGATGCCACCTCTGCCACAAGTCACTTTATGAAATTTCCTCTAGGAGCAAAAACAACATGAAGCAGCAGACCACACAAACTCACAGAGCAGGGCTGCCGAGTGCTAAAGCGCACATTGCCTATCCTCTGTTGAATCACTCACTAAAGAGTTTTAAACTGCCCCTGGAAGCAACATCAGCAAAAGAACTGCATGTTAGGAGTTTCACAAAATGGGTTTCCAGGGCTGAGCAGCTACACACAAGCCTAAGATCAAAATGCACAATGCCAAGCGTCGGATGGAGTGGTGTAAAGCAGGCCACCACTGGACCCTGGAGCTGTGGAAACGTATTTTGTGGAGTGATTAATCACACTTCTCTATCTGGCAGTCTGATGGACAGGAGAACATTACCTATCTGACTGCATTGTGTCAATTGTAAAGTTTGGTGGAGGAGGGATAATGCTATGGGATTGTTTTCCAGGTTGGTCTAGGCCCCTTCGTTACAGTGAAGGGAAATCTTAATGCTTCAGCATTGCAGTGCTTCCAACTTTCTGGGAACAGTTTGGGGAAGGCTCTTTTCCAGCATGACTGTACCCCAGTGCACAAAGCAGGGTCCATAAAGACATGGTTGGGTGAGTTTGGTGTGGAAGATGATTGTAATCATGATTTGATACAGGAGCAGCATCCAAGAAATAGGAAGGGACTTGGATATTTCCCCCACTACGGTGCAAAACATAATTAAAAGATTCAAGGAATCCGGAGGAATTTCAGTGCTTAATGGGCAGGGATGCAAGCCTAAGCTGAATAATGGTGCTCTCTGATCCCTCAGCACTGTATCCTAAGCGATATAACCACATGGGCTCAGGATTACTTTAGCAAATCTTTGTTACAATAAGCAGTTATGTCTACAAATGCCAGTCAAAAACTTTACTGTGCCAAAAGGAAGCCTTATGTTAACTGTGTCCAGAAATGCTGTCAACTTCTTTGGGCTCTGAGTCATCTGGGATGGAACATCATACTGTGGAAATGTGTATTATGGTCAGACGAATCAGTATTTCAGGGTCTGTCATGGTATGGGGTTATGTCAGTGCCCTTGGCATGGTTAACTCACACTTCTGTCATGGCATCATTAATGCCAAAAAGTGCATAGAGATTTTGGAGGAACATCTATTATCTCTGTCCAAAGAAATATCTCCAAAATTATAAGGTTACAGGAGAGGGCAAAAACATTCTTCACTTTCAATGTACGTTAATATACAGAGTGTTTATTCTCAGCAATTTAGAAGCATTTCTATTGGCCCATTCATCATAAAATTCTTGCATAATGTGAAGGACAGCTGCCATGCTCAAACAATGCAGAAAGGAAAAAAAAAATGGAGATACATGTTTTTCTTCGGACAGCGATGATATGCTGCCTTCAAGACAACTTTTTCCAGGGGCGATCACGCAAATTTCAACAAGACGATGCAAAACCACAGTCTGCAAACATAGGCGTGGCTGTGCAAGAAGAGGGTGTGGGTGCTGAACTGGCCTGCCTGCAGTCCCTAACTGTCCCCAGTAGAGAATCTAGGGCTTATTTTAAAATTTAAAATGCGACAACGAAGACCTTGTACTGCTGTACACCTCAAAACTTGTTTGCATTAAGAATGGGACAAAATCACCCCTGAAATGCTGCATCACTTGGTGTCTTCAGTGCTTAAACATCTTTCAAGTGTTGTGAAAAGGAATGGCAACATTACAAAATGGTAAATGCTTTACTCCTCCAACTTTTTTTGAAATATGTTGCAAGAATCAAAATTGAAAGAAATGTTTATTTTGAAAAAACAATAAAAATCATGAGGTAAAACATCAAACAATGTGCTGTTGTATTGTTTTCAGTGTAATACAGGTCAAAAATAGTTTACAAATCACTGTTTTCAGTTTTATTTTACTATACCGTCCCAACTTTTTCCTATTTGGGGTTGTATAATTTCTCTTAACATAGAGTTCCCCCTTAAATTAAAAATCAGAAGTCTTTGGGAAAACTATGCACAAGAAGTTGACATTCTTTGGTTGATATGAAACAAAGGCCTTTGTATTATTTCTTTCCTGCTTAGGCTCGTACAGTCTGACTTGGATGTTCCTGGCAAGCTCCTCCACACTTTCTTTGGCCACGCTTGTTGCCATTAAACCAGCTCTTAGCAAAGGAAAGCGAGCCATTGTAGCCCTTCTTTTAAACGTCATCTCAGGTAAGAACAAATGGCCCATTTGAATGTTTGTGTGTTACCGGATGTGGGTGGAATTGCTAGCACTGATTTACACAATTAACAGAACAGCGTAGCCAGGCACTGATGTTGCCTGGCTGGATTCACCCCCACATCTGGCAACACGCAATTACTAATAAATCAAAATAACCCTCACAGATCCTGCCAGTGTGACCAGCTTTGTCCTTGGATATGTCCTTTATGATTCAGTCTGTGGTAGTAAAGTATGGTTGTGTGTACTGACTGGAATTTTTTATTGTTTCTGACTGACATTTCAAAATGTTTCTATTTTAACAGTTGCGTTTTGCGTATGCGCCCTCATTGCCTTCATGCTGTACATTGAGGAGCATTTGCCTGAGATGGTCAAGTTCCTCGGTTGGGCTTTTTACATCTGCTGTGCTACTGTCCTCTATGCATCTGTAGTGTCTGTGGCCCTCGGACTGGTGGGAGGCTCCTCAAGCATTGAGCCAATAAGCCCACATGACTGTTCAGGCTTGCCACCTGTGTCCCCTTAGTCCACCAAGCCATTGCCCCTAAACCCTAAAGGGCCAGTTTCCCAGACCCAGATTAAGCCAAAGCCTGGACTAAAACCTATTTCCAGTGGAACTTCTCCATTGAGACTGAGTGCATGACTATCCTTAATCCATGTCTGGGAAACTGGCAAACTGTTTTGCTCAACAAACAGAAAATCATAGCTTGTACATTTGAAAATGTATATTTGGATGTGATACATTCTACTGCAACACAATAAATTGCCAAAAGTTTCACCATGTTCTTCATTTCTTCTTGTCAAAAACACAAGTTAATATTCATTAGGCCATTTTCCTAGACTAAAAAGAATTTCCATTTTCAATTTCAATTTAATTTACTTTAAGCCTGTACTTATACTATGTCTGATAAACCAACCCATGCAGCAGGATTAATTCTGTGATAGTGCTGTTCCTTTAGTAAAGTGTAATATTGCCCCCAACTGGCAAAATAAGGGCAAGTAAATTTCAGACCATACTAATTTTAATAAAATAAAGAAACAGAAATCTGCAATTTCCCCACATATACCAAAGCTATCAAACAAATTCTACGCATTCACTTTTATATCTTAGTCTATTTCACTGTAAGATATTGTCAATCGTTAGATGAGATGCAAATGTTATACATTATGTTTCAACAAATTACAATTAGTAGTTAGTAACTAATTAGTAATTAGTAGTTTGGAAAAGTGATATAAATGCATTGAAATATACACAGCATTGAGAAAATTTTAGACACCTGAGAAAATTCTGTTTGAAAAGCTATTTATCTGAGCAGTAAGTGTTTATTTGCTCAGAAAAAAAAAACAAAACATTAATATTAGAATAAATGCAAACAAAAAAAAAACGTAGTAGTGATTTTATGTCTGTCAATGTATTCAGGTACTCATTTCCACACCTCTCCTGGGGGAAGCCCAGTGTTACTTTCAGTTATCATACAATATCTGGTACTCATTTCCACACCTCTCCTGGGGGAAGCCCAGTGTTACTTTCAGTTATCATACAATATCTGGTTTGGCTAGTCAATCCTTCATCAGAAAGGTGTGTGGGTGATGGAATTCAAAAAAATGTAATCTAGTCAAAATTTAGAACGAAACTTTTGCTCTTCAAACAAAATTCTTTTGTTTTATTGTATTTATGTTTATTTGCATCTATTCTAATGGCACATAGTACTTTTTCAAACACAAAGATAAATGGCTTTAAATAATGTGCCAAGGTGCCTAACACCTTTGCACAGTACTGTATACACCTATGATGAATGTAAGATTTCTTGCTGTCAATCTGAAAGCATAAAACATTGAATCAATTTGCATATCTCAAGCAGAAAATAGTATATTCCAGTGTGCTTTCTCTACACTGAAACAGTAGTGAATGACCATGCTGCTTGCCTAAACTTTAAGTGCTTTAGATCTAATTTGAACAGACAGATCTTAATCAAAATTACGAGCACAAGAAAACAAAAGTCTAAAACTCAAACAGGGCATGCCAACAGTGTTTATTTCTGCATGTGTGTATGTAAACAGGGTCAGCAGACAATTAAGCAGCAGTGGATGCCTATTTAATAAGCTGTTTTAATGCAACTACAAAAGAAACAATTATATATATATATTTATCTAAGCATTAGATACTAATATTTCATTACATCAATTAGCTTTTGACTATATTTTCATGGTACACAGCAGGGCAGGTTTAAGACGCTCCTTCCACTGGTCCCCAAAGTCACACCTTCATTCTTGAAGTGTAAGATCACACAGACGGCCATGATCTCCCTGTCAAGCGGACAAGTACAAATGAAAGGGACTGAAGCTGAACGGGGACACAAAAAAACAAAACAAACAAACAAAAACAAACAAACAAACAAAAAAACAAAAACCACATATTGAGCCATTAAATTCAAAATGCACATGAGGATGAACTAGAAATGCCAACTGTATGCCTACAGTAGCTCCACAACAGTCTGCACAGTGAGTTTTTCTAGTTTGAAGAACAGGAAAACCCCTATCTGATGATGCATCTTGAAGATTCTCTGTAGTAGATACCTGAAATTGTACGTTTTTCCATTGGCTTACTACTGCAGAAGAAAGCCAGATAGCTAATCTTACTGCAAGGAAGCTGTATTACGTATTACTTCTTAGCCTCTACATCAGTGTTTTTTAATCAGTATATGATGCATTTGTGTAATACATGTTAGGTAGTGTAGAGATGAACAAAAACATAAGGATATAAATCTGTGAATTTTGAATTGTCAAACTGATGAAGCTGAGGGATACAATACTGTGCTACAGAATATTAGATAACATGACATTACAAATAACAATGCTACTGTCAGGCTGCAGTGACCTTATTAATGAATGTTAAAATGTTGAAAATAGGCTTACACGGTCTTCAGAACAGACAGATCTGTATGTTTTCAATCTTGTCTATTTTGTGCCGATGTAGGTGACAGTTTTCCCCGTCTTCTTCAGTGTCTCCAGAAGAACATCTTTATCTTTGTCAGACTCGATGAACACCTTCTTGTTAGGAAGGTCAATGTCAAACTTGACATCTGTTGAAATGAGAAACACGTTTAGAGCACAAACACAGCACTTATTCAAAACTGAACTCTGACCTCTACCTGTCACAGCTCCTTAACTGTGTATTTTTACAAAAACAACTGTTACAGATGAAAAGTTCTGTCTACCTCACTGAGGTTAAAATTATATAAAACTTCTGAATAAATAAATAGCTATGGGATATCATTATAGTGCTATTTGAGAAGCAGCTTCTGACTGCATGTTTAACCCAGTTCAGTTTAAGCTGGACTTACTTAATCACTTCTACCACTGCTTTACTTGTAATACAACGTTGAATATCGCTGTTGTCGGAAGAAAACCTCGTATCTCCATTTTTGACGGTTTTCAGTTTTTGACATAATTTGAAAATACCTTTCACCCTTTGTATTGTCTGTAAATTTCATGATGAATGGACCAAAAGAAGTGACCCAAAATGACTTGGGGGGGAAAAAAGTCTGGTTCCACTGACTTACATTAAAAGTCAAGTAGGTTTTTCCTTCTCCTGTAAAGTTAACTAGTAACCATTTTGGAGATACGAGGTTTTCTTCCGACAACAGCGATATGTTGAAAATGTATTCACAAAAACACTCAAACGTGCAGTGCAGACCTACCTATTTTTTTAAGGACTCGGGTGACTGCACCAGAACATCCCTCGCACGTCATATCAACAAAAAATTCGTGGGTCTGTGGAAAAAATAACTTAAACGTTAACGTTATTTCTGGTCACCAGTAACGTTACTCCTCAAGCTGAAGTAAGCAAATCCAACAGGCTAGCGAGCTAGTTAGCTAACTAAACAGTCCAGGAAAATTAACCCAAAAATCCGTACAGAACAGAAACCATATCGGCTTTTATCAAAGATAAAAACAGACTTACAGCCATGATCCGACAAAGCTTACGGACGATCAAAGCATTCAAGTCCACTAATTCTCCTGTTAAGAGACACAGTGAATACCAAACGCTATCTCAAAGTCTGGCACTCAGCGGACCGGGGGGACGTGTGACTTTAGGGATGATCGATAAATTACTGCAGCTTTCCTGAAGCGTTTAGTACAATACGGACTGTCATACACACTCAAAAACGGTTCTTCAACGGTTTTTAGTAAAGGAAATGGTTCTTTTCAGTACCACGGGTTCTATTTAAAACCATTTCATGCTTAAATGGTTCTTTGCATGGTGAAATTGTTCTTCAGATTGATGGAGAATGTATTGCAGCGCACTGTTTCTCAGGCCTGGTCCTGGAGGCCCACTGCCTTGCACTTTTTAATGTATTCCCTGCTCCCAACACACCAGATCCAACTAGTCAGCTCATTTACATACCATTCCTGAGTTAAAGTGGCTGTGTTAAGGAAGGGACAGCACTACAATGTGCAGGACAGTGGGCCTTCAGGACCAGGGTTGAGAAACACTGTTGTAGCCTATATAGTTCTGTATAGAACCTTTTTGAAAATGGTTCTATATAGCACGAACAAGTGTTCTTTTGTTGTTACACTCTCACAAAAAAGAGGATTCTCCAAGGTTCTTTAGCAAAAAAAAAGGTTCTATATAGAACCATTAACACTCAACCATTTGCATGGTTAAAGGGTTCTTTGCATGGTGAAATTGTTCTTCAGATTGATGGAGAATGTGTTATATATGGTTCTGTGTAGAAACTTGTTGAAAAGGGTTCTATATAGCACCAAAAAAGTTTCTTCCGTTGTTACAAGCTTGAGATCCTATCGATAGCAGAACGCTTTTTGGTGCTATATAGAACCCTTTTCAAAAAGTTTATAGAACCATATACAACACATTTTCCATCAATCTGAAGAACAATTTAACCATGAGCTGGTTCTATATAGAACTCAATGTTCTAAATAGAACTATTGCTTTTACTAAAGAACCATATATCTATATATCAGCACAATTATTTCAGATTTCTACAACTTACTGCGTGTAAGATGTTTGTAACTTTGACATTACATGGATACCAATTTTTTTGCAAGTTTGGAGTCTTAGAACAGGCCTTTCATAAAAGCAGAAGCTGCACGTGGAATCTAGGCAACTTGCAAGTGTGCACGTTTTTTCAGGCTTTATACAGAAGCTCCCTGGAAGCTGCATCAGCTGATCAACACAATCATGTGACCGCGGACTGAACAGTAGAGGAAACAACAAGCCGCTGCAGGCTGCAGAAAGCAGAAAGCGGGCGGGCGGGTGGAGCAGTGGACTTCAAACAGGGTCAAGGAAGGACCCAAACGGACCAGACTTTTATAACCTGGTACCTGCTTAAGTTATTACTGGAGAATGTGTCGGGCCAGTCACAATTACTAGCGAGATAAGCATCAATCTCTGCCAGAGTGCTGTGGACTTTGTGGTAAGTCAGCGTCACTTCACTGAAATAATCAATGCGGCTCTTATAGTAGAATTTGGCTGCAGTAGGAAGTGAATGGAAGCCGGGTTTTCAGTGAAAGGACTGGACAGATTATATTTGGGGAATTTAAAGTTGAGTTATATGTGCACCTGCTGTTCGTACAAGCTGATTAGCTGGGGGCTAGTGAACGTGAGACACGAAATTAGGGGTAGCAGTTATTATGCTCTGTTCAGTATCAGTGTTTGTGCTTTACCTGGGAGGCCTTTGTAGTTTTTAGGCTGTAAGGCGATTATACTGCTCTGCATGTGGTGTCAATATAAATTGCTGGCCATTGTATTCATTAGTGCTGTAATCCAGGCAATCCTTGTTTCATATATGAACTAAACTGTTTATTCTGCTTTAAGTGAAACACATGAAGTATTTAATATCTTGTGCTTTTTTTTCTGATATATTTAAAAATATGAAAATATATTCTGATATAAAATAATACCAGAACATATTTTCAACATATAGCCCTTTTGTATAAGGAGAGCCAATGTTCTGTCAAAGAGAAGTGATCTGTGTCTACAAATGCTGACTAATGAATATACAGACCAAACATATTCTCTGGTTTGTAATGCTGCAACTGTGCCAACAATAGTTGTCAACAACAACAACAAGGGAGAGGATATAGAGAGATCTTAAAAGGAAGGTTTGGTTATGATGAAAGCACAACAAAGTAAAACCAACAAGTCACGCCTTTGACATTTGCAGTGGTCAGCAGGTATTATATAGCATCCCTTTGTGCAGTGTGCTGATGTATGTGCTGCGGCTTCACAGAGATGTGAAAAAATTACTCAGCTAAATTTAATATTGCATAACAAGATCAGTTGAGCTGTGTAGCATGACACACTTCCTGGGTTCAGTGTCACTTGTACATTTTATGAACAGCGTTCACGTTGACGGGAATGTTGGCTCTTCACATCCAAAAAGGTGAGGTCACAGTATCTTGCGTTCAGCTTTTGGACCCTATCAGCAATAATGCCATATCTATCAATTTACATAGGTTTCATCTAGACATGTGCTGATATTCAATGATACGATATACCACAATATTCGTCAGAAGTGATACTGTTACGGACAATTTGAAATACTGTTATTGCATTTTAGTACAACAAGTTGCACTTTCACCAGATATTTTTTTTAGATATGCAGAGTAGCTCTGGTTTCAGACCATGGTAGGAGAACTGTGTAGTGACATACTGATCTCAGGCTGTATTTGATGTTTGTACAGCTGTTTTGCTGTATTTTTGGCTTGAGCATCTTTACAACTCACAGTAATGGTCACAGTGCTGTCCTTTCATACTGTATGTGCTGCGTAGGGGGTCTGTCACCCGCCTGGGTGAAAAAAAAAAAGGGGGACGCCAAAGACATGGTGTCCATTAAGAATGTCAAAAAACAAGATTCCAGAAGTTAATCAAGATTGCTGGGCCATTATAAAAAAAGAAACCATCAGGGATGCAACAATTCCCAAAATCAATAACCACCATGACAACAAAACGTGTCATTTGATCAGGGGTGCCAAAACTTTTGCATGCAACTGTATTCAATCACACAAATTATGAATTTTTCCAATAACTTTTGAACAGTAGTGTATCAAAAGAAAACAGGTTTGCAGCACATATTATATATAATTCTACAATTTTTTTGCATATGAATATTACAAATGCATAACCTTTTCCAATAATCATAATTACGACCCCAAAATATTACCACCAACACATTATAGCTATTAGAAATGACTTTCAGGACAATACATCTGTTTATATGTATTATATTAATACAATATTACGAAAAGATCATTAACCAGAATAGGTGATTTTGTGAATATTGTTATTGTCAACTTATACATGGAACAAAGATTGTCTGGTTGGCAATATGTATATAATAATTTATTTGCAGATATTGTATGTATACACATAGTAATATATTAGCCCTACAGCCTTAAAACAACTACATAGACTGCCCCGATATTGACCCTGAGTGGGACATAACTGCTACTGCTTTTGTCTTTATACAAAAAAGCTTGCCGTTTGAATAATCAGCAACATACTTTAGTGCAAATTAATGCAAAATGTTCATATGGGTGTTGTATCTTTGTTAATGTAGGCTTACTTCTCCCTCTAAACAGAGTGTCAGATTTATGTGACCTGCTTAAGGGTTGTCACTGTCATATTAAGTGTTCTTATTTGTTGGGTAGAATGAAAGTCGGTTTGAAGATAAAATCTGACAAGTAGTGCACCTGGTCTTTGCATCACGCACAACATATAAAAGCTGCACTGTGCGATGACTGGACAAGGACTGCATTTCACATGCACAGTGATCTTTGTCTTGCTTTTTAGATTTTGAGGAAATAAGAGCAAAGGGAGACAAGTGCCTTGTACTTTTGTACCCCACACACACACACACACACACACACACATTTTCTAAGCTACTCATACTTTTGTACAAGGAGAGTAATAAATATAACAGTAATAATGGATGATTTCTCTTTGATCGCAGTGACTGTGGATGGATTGTCTCTGCAGTGAAGCTGGGGACCAGTGAAGCGTTTAGACAACCAGAACAGCCATGGATTCAGACATCAACTATCAGGATGGTAACCAAATTTAGCCTGCATTACGAGAACATTTCAGCTACTGCCTGTTTTGCTTTATTAAATTAACCCCTTAAATGGCCAGTACTCCCGGTGGGTCCAAAGTTTTACAACACACTTCTATAACCTAGGAATAACTCAGGCAGTTTGCGCTGTAGTCCATGTAGTTACTGAATAATAAACCTTAATATGTAATAAGCCTGAGATTTTAAGGAGCTAAACTGTAGTTTGCACATGTGCATAGCTGTCACTGTGCTTGTTTCTAGTGCAGATCAGAAGTAGGGCTGAATGAGTTGGGGAAAATTCCTAATTGCAATATTTCTGGCCACTATAGCAAATATTGAGGTTTAAACGAGATTATTTTCTACAAATTAATCTCCAGGACTTTTTTTTCCAAGAAGGCTAAAACATCCATTTTTTTTGGACCTGAGGGATGAATGCTGAATGTAGTTTGCCAGACTGTCTGCGTTATTAAGTGGAATTTCCCCACTTAAAACTAAAAAAAATGCGTTCTTTCAAATATGCCTTTTTCTCAGGTATATTTTCTCTCTGATGGTCAGCTCTCAATGCTTTTGCCCCCTCACAATATCCAATGTAGCAAAACTCTAACCTTGTTTAATGTCATACGTTGTCTATATAATGTATGACGTATAATTTGACGTATAAATGGAAACATGATTAGGGATTTGTTTGTATCTTTTCTAAGGCCCTGTGTTCTCCCGAACAGAGGAGAGCCCAACAGAGGATGACGAATCTGTCCACTCACCCTCACGCATGCAGAACGAGTATGAGCGAATTGGGGGCAGATCAGGATCCTCGTAAGACTCATCACAATGATTATTTCGCATGAATGGTTTGAAGTTGTTTTGTCTTGGCCACTGATCTCAGACCCTGATTCTCATCTTTGCAGGTTTTTACAGACCTTAATTCATTTACTGAAAGGAAACATCGGCACTGGTCTGCTCGGCTTGCCTCTGGCTGTAAAGAATGCAGGGCTTGTGGTAGGATGTCGTCATCAGTTTAAACTAATTACATTTGCAGATACGCATGTCTGCTGTGTAGTTTTCCTCTGTTATCTTTCCATACCACTTTTTAAACTAGCATTAATGGCAGATTTTTATTTTTGAGCAGGATACTTGTTTTGTCTTGTTCTGGCTTAAGTACATACTCTCAGTCAGTTTCACTCTCTACAGGGAAGCTCTACAAAACATTATTTTAGGAGATTTTAGGTGTGTCCAGAATGATGATGAGAGGTGTAGATGAATTCATAATGACTGCATAACATTGAGGATTCACAATAAATGTAGCATCCCGCATACAACTGGACAAAAATTGATGTAGATAGATAATGACAGTCTATAATTCACAGTAAATTAACTCAAAGTCCCTGAAATTTTGAATGAAACGTCAAAAATTACCTTTTGATGTCTAGTTTTTCAGATTTAAGTCTACATTGAATGTTATTGTTATATAGAGTCACATACAAACTTCATGTTTTGTTTATTTTGTAGGTGAAAATACTTACACGTCCTCTATAGGAAACAAATTTAAATATTGCATTTTTCTGAAATTTTATTGGGCAATTTCTGTCTATTTGCTGAGTTTAACATATGGAAAAAGGCATAAATTATAAAATGTGCCATAACTTTTGCACAGGCCACATTTAATGTTTTATTTTTTCCAAAATGTTAATTTCAGCAAACAGCAATTGTGCGTTAAAATGTGCAGACGTTTGTTCTCTGTAGAGGATGTGTTAAACTATTTTCACTTAGAAAATCAACAGAACATGTCATCTGACCACAGGAGCCAAAACTTTTGCATACCACTGTATAAAATAACACAAATGATTAATTTCTCCAAAACTTTTGAACTGTAGTGTATCAAAGGAAAAACAGAGTTTTGCAGTGCATGTTATATATAATACTACTTTTATTTCATGTATGAATATTACAAATGCAAAACTTTTTCCAGCCAGTAATCCATCTTTCTTCATTTCTAAACAGATGGGTCCACTGAGTCTCTTGGTGATGGGCATTGTAGCTGTACATTGCATGAACATCCTGGTGAAATGTGCACATCATCTAAGCGCTAAGTAAGTCTTCGTGAAGCACCTGTCACTGTTTGTTTGATTAGAGTTTGTTTGCTCAGTTTTATATGACGGCCTTTGCATGTTCTGCCTGACTTGGATATTTATACCTGTCGACTGTAAGAGCTTCCAAGTTATTGATGTAAACTTTATACATTACTGTACAAAAGTCAGAGACCACTCATCCTTTATTAAATTTCCAGTCAACAAAGCCGGTAAATGCAAGTGGTTAATTCTGCAGCGTCAGTTAAAAAAAATACAGATTCCATTCTCATAGCTCCCCTAATGTTCTGGTCAGAGCAGTGCTGTTACATTTTGGTTGTAAGGACCCATTCAGTACAGCAGAGACCCTGTGTGTTTGAATAATAACATGCCTGAAGCTACCAGTACAATAATGTGTTGTTCTGCTCTCTTTAATAATTGGCACACTTAAATGATATGCTTCCCCAGATGTTATGAGATTCTAATAAATGTGCTTAGTTGAACATACATTTGTATAAAAATGTCCTGGTTAAAGGTTTTTTGTCTCTTTTTATTCTGTAGGCTTGGCAAACCATTTCTGACCTACGGGGAGGCGGTAGAATATGGAATGGAGAATGTATCTTGGTTGAGGAACCATTCTCATTGGGGAAGGTGATGGATTAACTTTGTTTGTTCATCTCCATTTGTTTCAAGTTTATTTTTCATGTTCCTATTTTTTACTTAATTTTATGACTCATTTCCTTTATTGTCCAGTCCAAAACCCTACTTCATTTTTTTCTTTCAGTCTTGTTTAGATGCACTTTTCTGTAAAGCATTTTGAGATGCATGTCAATGTAGGAGAGGTGCTGCACAGATAGAATTATTAGAAGAAATAATATTATTGTAGTAGTAATATTATTTCAAGTTGATGATTTCATGATCTCATAGGCAGGTTTGTATGTCCTCTGTTGTCAGCTCTAACATACAGCACTGTGCAAAAATCAGAGACCGCCCTGCATTTATTAAATTTCCAGTCAAAACAGCTGTTAAGTCCAAGTTATTCATTTTTCAGGAGGATATTTCTGAGAAGATTAGATATAAGATAATCTACTTGCATAAGGATGGGATGGATGAAAGGAAAATAAGTGAGAAAATTTCCAAAACTGAAAGTTCAAAAGGTTATCAAAATATGCAGAGAAAATGGAACTCCTAACAACCATGCTAGACCTGCTAGACTTACAAAACTGTCACCATCAGATAAACAGCACTTAATTTTATCATTGAAGACAATCAAGCTCCGCTCTTGCTTCAGATCTGAAAAAATCCACAAGTATTTCTGTCCATCCTTCCGCTATGAGAAGACAATGCTATGGGTCTGAAAGGATGTGAAGCTGTCGAAGTTTCTGAGAAAGAGAAATAGACAAAAAACATGAAAAAGAGCAAAGAAGCTACAGAGTTCAGACTTTAACATCACTGAATGTGTCTGGGGTTATGTGGATCATGAGAAGCAGAAAATGCAACTAACTTCTAAGACTGAACTTTGGAGGTGTGGAAAATTATCCCTGCAGATTTCTTTGAGAAACAGAAAGCAAATCGCCTGAAAAGAATGAAACCTGTATTAAATGCAAAGTGTGGACACACAAAATACTAAACAAATTGTATGCTGAGGCTTCTGTGCAATTTTCAATGAATATATGTTTCCTACTTTTTTCCTGATGCTGAAAAACACATTACTTAATGTCTGTTTTGACTGGACATTAAATAAATGAAGGCACAGTGCTGTAGGTTTATAAAGAACTAGTTTGGAAGGTTCTATACCTGGATGGTCAGGTCCTGTGTCCTTCACTTACTTTACTTGCTCCGCCTGTTTCTCAGAAATCTTTAAAGTGCTGTCTCGTGGATGTACTGAAGCAGTTTTTCGTTCTCTTTCTTTGGTTCCTTCTGCTTTTCCTGTTAGACGAGTGGTGAATTTGTTCCTGATCATCACTCAGCTGGGCTTCTGCTGTGTGTACTTTGTATTCCTCAGTGATAATGTCAAACAGGTGAGAAACATCTCAAAGATACCTCTTAGCCAACATCAGCAGCCTGAATCATTAGGTTGCCCTGTTTTTTATGTGAATTTAACACCTTTTCAATGTTCTCTTAAACTCTTAAAATGTTATAAGCCGTGCATTAACGCTGATGTTGTCTACTGAATACACGCAGTGTGTTCTCTACATAATTGAAGGACAGAATTTTCCCCTGCACTGTCAAGTTAGAGACACTAACTTAATAGTTATAGTGATTTAGTCATGTAGGTCGTTGCACATGTTTATTTATGGGCAATGTGCAGTCAACACCCACATTTATGAAATATGAGAGAAGGTGGCTCATTTGAGAAATGCCTGCATGTTAGTTTTGTGGTCTACTGTGTTTAATATGTTTACAAAAGAATGTGAAGACAGTAGCTTTTGACCAAGCCTTTACTGTGTCAAGGATATAAACTGAGCCTGATGGCTTTTCTGCTGCTGTTATTTTTCTCACCACAAGAGTGCATCGTTGGCCTTTAATATACCTTCTAGCATCAAGTTAAGTGAAACTGGGGTCTGTGTAGCCAGTGCAGTTGAACAGCAGAGTGATTTTACTTTGCTGAGACACAGAAATCAACTAATAAATGAATACAACACTCAAAATGAATACTTTCTCTGGAATCCTTCAACATAAGCAATGCATTATATCCCAAATTCTGAGAGTGCTGTGAAAATCTTGACAAGTTTTAGAAGATTCAAGATTCTGCGCTATTTTTAGGTAACCATACAAATGTAAGCAAATTGATCAGGTTGAGGATTTTTTAAAATAAAAATTCAGATTTTTTTAGTCTTATTCTATCAATTGATGCATGCTTTCGGATGATTCCTAAGTGGATTTAATCTTTTCATCAGAGGCTTTTGCCTAAACTTGTGGAGTTCGTGCCAGCTTGAGTACATGCTGTTATTTAAGCATAATGAGGACATACTGTTTCAAATACTGCAGTTCTGCAACTCATATAAAGATTTCACAGGCTCTATTTTTCATTCAAATTGTTATGCTGGCAATATAATTTGTAAAGACAAAATTAGAAAAGAATGTAAAATAGAAGCACTAGTGGTGACTTGTGGACCCCACTGTATGTGTGTTAGGCATATTTTATGTAAACATGTTAAACAAAAGAAGATTCATTTATTAAATCACTGAGTCTTATTTTACAAAGTTCAAGACAAATGACAGGCGTGTAAACTATGTACATGTTTGAGAGTTGATTTGTTAAGATGTGGTAGTATATTTTGCAAAAATGCTGAGGAATACATTTAAATAAGGAAAGGCAGAACTGAATATCGTGCTCAGATGTGTTTTAGCTTATGGCGTTTTATTGATTAATTTTAAAATCACTCCTTTTGCCCTTTGGTTTAAGGAAAAGTTTTACCAAAAATCTATTTTACATAATTTCCCCCTTAGCTAAAGTACAGTCAATCAACCAAGACATGTTTAGTATCCAGAGGTTACTTCTTAAGTTTTGCACTGAAATGATGGGGCTAGTGTCACTCACAAATAATAGAAGTCTGTGTCACCCAGATGAGAACATCACACACTTGCCTCAAATGTCAAGTTGTTAAGTCGTCTTAAACAGACTTGCTTTAGTGGTTTCTGTATGATATACTGTTATCTATACTGTTATCTATACAAGCGAACAAAAGTACAGAGAAAGATTTAGACTTTAAAATGACTGCTGTGCAGTGTGTTTAGCTGTGCAACGTACCTATTTCTATAGAAACCACGTAAGCAAGTCTGTGATTATTTAACAGCTCAACATGTTTTAAGACAAGTGTGTAGTGATTTAGGCATGATGCTAATTAGTGGTTTTAAGCCTTTCATTATTTGTTACCTGCATTGTCCTTGTAGCTCCAGTGCAAAACTAAAGACGAAAACTTTACCATATGTTTAACATATCTTGGCTAATTGGTTACAGGGGTTGAGTAAATGTAGCTTTCTGCAAAACTATTCCTTTAAAGTCCAGAATCTCATGTTGTCCTATTTTGCTCAGGTTATAGAGGCTGCCAACGGGACCACCATGAACTGCAACACCAACCAGACTGCTGTGATCGTTCCCAGCTACAACTCTCGTCTCTACATGCTCTTCATCCTCCCCTTCATCATCCTGCTGGTGTTCACCCGCAACCTTAAATTCCTGGCCCCTTTCTCCTTCGTGGCCAACGTGGTCATGAGTGCCAGCCTGATCCTCATCTACTACTTCTGCCTAACGGTACCCACACACACACACAGACTGCTGACTGTCCTCCTGATGTGATTCTGTCTGCCTGACACTGGCAATCAAAATTAAAAGACCCCCCCCCTGACATTTCATCATTGTATTATCTGTGTGTTGACTATGAGGTGGGGGGGGTGGGGTGGGTTAGGTGAGGCAAGGGTTTAGGGTGGGTTACATACTGAAAAATGAATCCCCCTCACTTTTAAAATGAGGCCCCTGGCCGGATATTAAAAGAAGTTGTAATTATATCTGTAGGTCATATGTATACTAGATGTTTCAGTGCTTCATTTTGTTTTCAGTGGACTTTTGAAACATGCACAATGGCTATAAAATGATCACATTTGCGAGCACGCTCAGATCAATCCCCCCTGGACACACACCTCTCTTTCTTTCTCTTGATTGAATGCTGGTGGTTATGGATGAAGAGGCAACTGCAAGAGACAGCCTTTCAGGATGGTTTCTCTGCTCAGTTCTTACTGGAAGCGTTTAATAGCTGGATAGCTGCCTGTGAAATGTGGGTTGCTGCTGCATGCAGTAAGAAGTTAAGAGAAGTGAGTGAGGCTGCTCCGCTCTGATTTAAAGAAAAAGTTAGATTTAAGAGTAATCTGTATGAAATGATTGGCGAGATTTGTTTTTGGAGAAGATCTGGAGAATTTCAGAGAGATTTTTTTTTTGTTTGTTTGGAGAACTTTTTCCCTTACAAAGTAGTGCTAGTTTATTGCCATACTCTTATGTATCTACTGCACACAGCATGAATATGTCTCTACGTTTGCTTCGTCAGTGCCTCGCTGCTTGAGGGGCATGTCTGTCTACACACAGGATGCAAATGACCCTGTCAATCATGAAATCGCTGTTATTAGGTAAATAATTTTCTTATTAAGGGGCAGATTTACTAACGTTTTGTGCTGTCGGAAACTTGTTGTTAAACAGTGGCTGTTGTGATGTACTACGAAGGGGCAAAGGCCGTTTTCGCTCTTGTAATAAGATGAAAGGGGCGAAGCTGCTCTTTGGCGCTTTGCCCTTTCAAAGTGCAAAATACTGGGAGGAGATTATTATAATGAAGCACTTATTCTGATTTACTAGGGCTGATAGTAAACACTGACTGCGTTATTTAATGCCTCTGAAAAGCTTGTCGTATTTTTGGCCCTAATGTTGTTGCTGAGAGAGAAAAAAGAAAGTTTATCGCACACATTCGTTGATTTCCACCACACCTGCTATATCATTACAAATTTAACTAAGGAAATAAAAAACTGAACCAGTTTGTTTTAGTAAAACAATGTTTTAAACTGGTGTTTCCTAAAATTCAGGTCTGTTTTACACTCATGAAAGTGTCTTCAGAGCAGGTTTTGTCTAAATCGTAATTGTTTTCTCCCCGGACTGATGTGAAACTCTTTTAGCCTCGCAGTCCCTGCACTGTTAATGCAAATTGTTAGTTCATTTGGGCTGTGGCTGCTGTCACAGAAATGTCACAGCCATGGTTTGATGCAAATGCAATTCAGATCTTATAGTTCCCAATCAAGCAGGAAGCTCTCAGTAAATTAAACAGGCGTTTTACAATATCTTACAAATTCTATTTGCACTCAGCACCGAACTCAAGTTCAGCTCAAACCACCAGCCGAAACTAACATTTGTTTCAAAATGGAAAGTCAAAATATTTACTAAATAATAATAATTACTAGTGTCTAATTTTTTGTTATTATGTTGAAATAATGATGCACTTTCTCAGTAATAACTTGTCATTATTTGGACCTACTGAAATAAAATTCAAAATCTCAAAACAAAAATGTCAATATTTCAACCTAGCAGGTTACAGTTTGAACCAGAATCAGAGGATTAAAAAAAAGGTTTTGGCTGCGTCCCAAAGCACTTCTAAACTTTACGTAATGCACTTCTAATGGTGGTGCACTGCTTTTTACACCCTATTTGGTGATGTGGTATGTGATTTGGGACGCAGCCTTTTCTGTTACCTGTCGGAAACAGGCTTCCATATGAAAAGCATGTAAGTCAAACACGTGGTTATATAGTGCTGCTTATATGTTAATTATGAAGTTGCACCTGTTTTCATTTGCATGGAAGTTCTTAGTAGATAAGCTCTAAATTTGCTACGACCACAGGCACAAAATGTCAGTAGTGCCTCTTTTAGTAAATCTGGCCCTAATTAAATAATTAAATATTTATGTGATGTCAAAATATTGATGTGTACTTGAAATGCTCCTCACTCATTTTTGATCTGTTAATAATGGCATCCAGTGACATGCATTCTTGCTCAAATAGGCTATTTTTAAACACTACTGGGCTGTAAATACAGAGATTAAATGTTCTGAAAATGCTGCATTATGCAAGAAAGAGAGAGTTCTTCCAGGCAGAACTATGTAGGCAACCCTTGTCATGTACTGAACTGTGGAAAGTTGCTTTTGCTTGATTGGTCAGTGCTATGTAATTTGCATAAAGAGGAATCCAACTCAACATTTATGCCACACCACTATTCAGTTTCTCGACGTTCCTACTCTCCACTGAAAATGGATGGGAGCTAAATTTGATGTAACTAATTTTTTAAAGAGATTTTTAAGAGTGCAGTCCTGTCATTTTCTCCACTGTTTCGAGTTTTGAGAGGCAAATGCAGCACATGCTCCCTCCACCACATGTGCAGCAGCACAGCACTGACCTTTCCGCAGTCCGTGCTTCAAGCAGTGCTTCAAGCTGCTTGAAGGAGAAGGGCTTGACTTTTTCAGCCAAAACCCATACTTACATGTGCTTAATGAGAGGGGGAAACAAATCTATTTGTCCTTCATTCCCAAAGAGCATTCCCAAGGATTCCAGCCACAGATTGAACATGGTACAGCTGTGATTTGAACATGAACGCCTGCAGCGTGGCTTATCTCTGCAGTGGAAGATTCAAAGTTGGCAGATAAGCTCCACACCAGGGAGATCAGCCTCAGAAATGTTTACAGAGGTGCTAACTGCCTGGAAAAATTACTTCATCTAAATGTCTGAGGATTTGCTGCCTTTTCAAATTTGTTTCAAATGAAACAATGTGGATTCGTTTCTTTGTTTCTTGCTCTCTTCTGCAATCTTGTGACACTTCCCAGGGAAACCACTACTGCACAGATATCTAATAAGCCTCTCGCATTATTTGATCAGTCGTCACCTGTCTGATGCTTGATATGTTTGCATTTGTATGTCTTCTATGTTCCATAACTGCCTATACTCAAAAGACATTATTGTCTTATTTTCTTCCAAAGTCGTAATGTTATTCAGGCTTGTCCATGCTTTTCTTTTTTCATTCTCAGCATATTCCAAACCCTGTTGACCTACCGAAGGTTGGAAGAGCCGTTGACTACCCACTTTTCTTCGGAACAGCCATATTTGCCTTTGAGGGAATCGGCGTGGTGAGTTTTCATATTCCTGTACTTAATAAAGCATCTTACCAATGTATCCATCATTATGTCATCAAAAGTAGTGGTGAAGGCCGTACAATACAATATTGTCAAGGTGTTTGAGCTATAATGTGATTCTGTTGCGATAGAATGTACAGAATGTATTGAGATGTATTGCAATTTATTATCTTTGGCTGCAAATTATAGATTTCAGCTAATGGATTTAATACAGTAACAATACACTGAACATCTTAATGGAGAAGTGTGAATTGTTTTCACAGCAGTGGGTTGTCACCCCTCATTGCTCAGCAGCAGCTCAAAACAGAATCATAGCATTTCACACACAGAAAGACAACAGTGCCCTAGTTAATCTGATAATTAGGGATGCACCGATACCACTTTATTTATATTTAAAACGTATTATTATTGGAGCCACAGACTTCTTGGCTTGGTGGAGGCACCTGGCCACAAGACCATATCGCTATCAGATGCAGCTTACTAGCGGAGGCGGGACTAATGGACACATTAGCCTAGCTAGCAGGCTGCTATAGTAAATGCTAAACCAGGGTAAAGGATGAAAGTAAGATCATTAGAGACAGACAGTTCCTTACAAATGTCTCTCTAATGTTCACTCCTTCAATAACAACCTGGACTAACATTAACTCAGACTGTAACTGATTACACAGTGGGAGATCGTCTTATTCAGGTAAAGAGCTACCGTTACTGTGTTTTGCACATTGTGCGCACATTATGCTATCTGGCTTATTTGTGTCATACTGATGAAACTAATATCTTAGGAAGAATCCTAACCGATATATCACTACTATTGCCTTCCCAGCAAATACTGGTGTTACAGTTTTTGCAGTGCATCAGAAATTGCTTCATGATCACATATTCACTATTACAGTACAGTATCAGTATCGGTACTGGTGCAGCCCAACTGCAAGTTTACAAAGATAAAAGATTTGATTTGTTTATATTCATTAAAAATATCCCACTCATTTTCCACCAGCAGAATGAATGAAGTTCACCCAAAGTTTAGTGATGCTATACTTTTTTTCTCCCATCCTTAATCAAAAGCAGCCTATATTGTTAAAACTGTTTCGTCTTATCTTGTAGGTACTTCCACTTGAGAACAAAATGCAGAAACCTCAAAAATTCAGTTTGGTCCTGTTCCTCGGAATGGGCATTGTCACTATGCTGTACATTTCCTTGGGCACCATTGGTTACGTCACTTTCGGAGATCACATCAAGGGGAGCATCACCCTCAATTTACCGGACTGCTGGTGAGTTTCTCAAATGCATCACTGTGTTTCTGATGAGCTTTTCTTCCACTCTCAGTGGAAGTGACTCATCCCTGTCATGACTTTTTATCGATCCATCTCTCACATGCTGAATTGGAAGAGATTCAAATGCTTTACAATAACGAGAGGCGTACGGGCTGGATGAAAAAAGCCAGGTCTTAATATGCTGTCAAGAAGAAGCTTGAATTATCTGAGGGAGTGGCTGTATTCAGGCCCAGAGCGGCCGGCAAGCCCCCTGCCTGCCGTTGCTTCTCGACTTTAATCTCCTCAAGGCTCTGCCGTGCATTCTAATACACTTTACGGCTGGACGCTACATGCACCATCAGTTGAGTGAATTTTCAGGTGTTGAAGGCGGGCACACTTAGACTGTTTGATCATAGAAGAATTCAATTTACAGGAGTGAGCCTACCGCTGCTCTCCGTAATCGAGTTGGGTAGTGGAGGCAGGAGGCAGCTCTTAGGCGCTCTCTCTGGCCTGGGATACGGCGGCAAGAGTGCAGAGGATGCGGCCCGAATGGGTCACTGAGTGCGAGGAAGAAAAAGAGCTGACCAGAAAAGCTATCATAGAAACTTGGGCACGGAGCCCAGAAAGGCGTCCGCTGAGATTGGGCCTGTCGGCGTGCGGGAGTCCACAGAGAACGATAAAGACACAGGCTCTGTGTAAATAATAATAGTTAGGGCAGAGGCGTCAATCACCCTCCCAGCTAGGAGAAATTAGGGACGTGTGGTGATTTCAAGTGTCTCACAGGAAACAAATGAGTCATCTTTGGAAACGCTGCTGATTATATACGGCATCAGTGACAGTTGTATGTGTATATGTGTATTAGTTGCCCTGTCTGTCAGACAAATTCGGTGTTACAATGTCTTCAAAAAGGCTTTAAAACTGATTTCTTTCACTCCTTTCGCTGGGTCCATAATCTTCCTTGAAAGCTAGAATCAAAACTAAACTGAGTCATATAATGCTACTTTTGTTAACATCTTCAAAGCACTTATCAATTGCAATTGTATAAACAGATGGTTCTTAGAAAAGCTTGGGCCAGTATTCAAAAAGTATGTAAGAGTGGGAGTTCTAACCTACAATCTTTATCGTTTAGAGTTAGAGACAGTAGCTCATCTGTTGCTACACAGTTTGTCTCAGTCGTCCTCTAGTCCTTCATCAGTGGTCACAGGACGTTGCCCACATGCCGCTGTTGGCTGGATATTTTTGGTTGGTGGACTTTTCTCAGTCCAGCAGTGATACTGAGGTGTTTAAAAACTCCAGCAGCAGTGCTGTGTCTGATCCGATCATACCAGCGCAACACACACTAACACACCACCACCACGTCAGTGTTACTGCAGTGCTGAGAATGATCCACCACCCAAATAACACCTGCTCTGTGGTGGTCCTCACCAGGGTGAAAGGGGGCTATCAATGTATGCAGGGCAACACATCACCAGATTCTACAGCAGCAGACGGATCTGATCTGGTGGTAAACTCTTTATCCTCATTTGTTGCTTGGTAAAATTCTACAGTTTGACTGGATATAAAGCAATAATTATTTGTAACTAAGTTCCCTCGTAGTTTTCGTGTGAAAGTAATGCCTTTTTAAACTTGTGGAACACACTGATTTCTGTGAGCTGCTGAAACCACTGAGAGCTGATTAGGGAGCGTCTACAAATGACGATCGTCAAAGTTCGAGTATGAGGCTCCAGTTTGAAGCCTTATGAGCCAGTACAGCCTTTTAGCAGATAGAACTCACATGATGGACAGTTAGAGTTTTTACAACTTCTATATATGATTATGGTTGAAGAGGGATCTCAAAATAAGATTTCTCCCAGACTGATCTTTTGACTTTGCTATGTTAAACAACAGATTTCTAACAAAGACGTCCAGGAGAGCAATGTAGTTTTTGACTATATGGCATTCGATCCAAAGTACTGGGTCATTCTACATTGATTACTTGACTGTGTTTTAGTCTTTGTTTCAGTGTACCAATTTTTTTTTATTATTTTTCTGTTATTCTTCCTCAGAAACCAAAGCTTGATTTCTGGACTTTAAGGTTTGAGTATAGATGCTTAGGATTAGGTTTAGGTTTTGAGTTAAACTAATACCCCACCTTTTTTACATAATTCGGGCTTGGTGAGTTTACCATTTATCCAGGGGTAGGAATCTACAGAGCCCTGCTGGTGACATCCATTATAAATAAAAATAATGCATGGCTTTGACTTACTAATGCGTGAGAATGAGATAATTAAGTCGTGACCACGAGATCCTAATGCTTGACCGCGACTTAGTAAGGTGCGGAAATGAGATAAGCCTTGGCCGAAACTTAATAAATCATGATCTCGTTCCAACGCCTCACTAAGTCGTTGCCTGGCATTAGGATCTCGTTCCCACATGTTAATACAGTGTGGCCATGTATTATTTTTATTTATATGGGATGTCACAAACAGGGCTCCGTAAGAATCTAATGAAAACTTTGATAAAATATAGAGAAGAAGACAAGAAGACTCAAAATTACAGTATCATAATACTTGAAAATCTTTTTACGATACGTGTCACAGTATTAGTTTTTTGCTACGTTAGAACAGAAAAAAGCCCAAGCAGTAGCACATTTAACAAAAAAATGTAAGGATGCACAGTTGGTCAGTGTTATTTATTTTGTGATTATATATGATATGCTTATAAATGACATCATTTATCACAATATCAATAAAATATTGTAATATTGCCCACCACTAGAGTGAGGGCATTCATTCTGTGAGAAAATGGAAATTTTATTCAAGGAAATCACTCTGAACCCCCACATTTTGTTTCTGTTAGGGAGGCCCCCTTAGTTAAATAGGAGGTCTGGGACCCCCCCCAGCACCCTCTCAGTTCAAGCACTGCTTCTGTTGTGAGTGTGCTTTGTGTTAACAGGTTTCTGTTGTTTTTAAATGCAGTAAAATGCTTCAGAAATACTGTCAGTGGTGATCAACTGTTGGCGTCAGATGTGGCTGAAAAACAGTGGAATGTTTTAGATTTGCAACAAGTGTTTGATAATACTCGTTACATTCACTAATTAAAATATCTGAAAAATTGAAAAAAGGTTTGATATACCGATACGTTTACCACTTTTATTAGCCCATGCTCTTCTGTGTAAAAGCAAATATTTCTCAAGCTAAATGCTAGCTAGTCACCAGCAGCACACAGCTGCCAGCTCTGCACAGCGGCCTTGGAGATTGTGATTTGGCAAAGTTTGTAAGACCCTCATATTTTGAGAAGACGGTATCGGTCTTAACTCCAGGTGCAGTACACGTACATTTCCTACTGCTCTGGATTGATAGCTTGCTAACAAGTTCTCAATTGCATTAGCTAGAATGTGTGGTAACTAGCTGTCTAGAGCTGTAGGAAAGTTATTCTGACTGCACTGGGCGTTTAAGTTGTGGCTGAGTTTAGTGCATGCTCTGATAGAAAGCAGTTTTGAGTAGCGTGAAACCTTCGTCACTCCCTCATTCACTGACAAGAACTGATCAAAAAGATTGTATTTTCAAAAAGAAGCTGTTTCCTCTGCTCTCCTGCACTGCTCACTACTGTTCGCACAATTGACAGAAATCTGTTCCTCTATCCTCATTGCCCTTCTGACATGCTTTCTGAATACTGAGCCCCCCCCGTAAAGGGTCAGCGTTGTGCCTGTATTGTGGGTTAGTATACGCAATAGAAGGCATGTACTGTCCGTTGCCATAGTATTATAGGTCAGTATGATACTTGCTTTGTGAATGCTGACCTTGCTTACAGTCTGCTGTTTGTTTGTTTGTGTTTGTAGGATGTATCAGATAGTGAAGCTTCTGTACTCGTTCGGGATCTACATCACGTACGCCCTGCAGTTTTACGTCCCGGCTGAGATCCTGATTCCCCTGGCTGTAGAGCGGGTGGACCCCCGGTGGGAGCTGCTAGTGGACCTCAGCATCCGTGTGGGTCTCGTCATCTTCACATGTGAGTCTTAGCACAAAAATCTCACCCACAGGAAGCTCTCTCGCACAGCCGATCAAAAGTCACTTATTGTGTTAATAGTTTTTGTTATTTTGTTCAGTAGTAATACTTAGACAGTAATAGACAGTAACTACACCTGTTGAAATATTGTAAACTAGACATTAAGGGACTGGTTTGGCACTTACTCTAGTTACAGTTGATCAACCAAGACATGTTTTGTGTCCAAACCAGATTTAGTTTAATGCTGGAGCTACAAGGCTAATGTAGCTAACAAACGCTGGAAGTCAATAGTCACCCAAATCCTTTCTGTTAAAACATCCACAAAACTTCTCTCAACCCGCTCAAACTGCATGCAGGTCTTGGATGGCTCACTGTCTGAAATAACTGTCTTAATTAAGGTTGTGCAGACTTGACGGTGTGGTTTAGGACTCGGTATGAAATATAAAAGGAAAACTTCACTTTGTAGCCTGACATAGCAGGCAGCTGTTTTAGGAGACCTTGATTGTAGTTTGAGAGGGTTGAGAAGGGTTGAGAAGTTTTGGGGATGTATTTACAGAAAAATTTTGAGTGACTACTGACTTCAAGTGTTTGCTGGCAGTGTACGCCTCATAGGTCCAGTACTAAGGTAAAGAAGCAAAATTTGGACACCAGACAGCTTGGCTGATTGACTACATCCGGGTTCAGTGGAATATATCATTTAAAAATGTATTTTTATATCTTTATTTAATATTTCAAGTGTTTGGGGAACAATAAGAAGTTGTTTGCATACTATAATAATTATTTAATGTCATTTTTGATGAAGTTGTCTGCCTTAGTCTTTTATCATCACTCTTAAAACACAAGGCACTCTGGATATTACTTTTATTTCATAAACGTTTTACAGGAGTCCTGTATAGCTCCGATGAGTTGTCTGGACAAATATGAAATTTCTCTTTTAAACTAATTCCTGCAAGTTATTTAAAACTTAAGAAGTTCTACAACAATAGCATCATATTGGAATCCTTTTATAAGAATTGGTTGTTAAAAACAATTGAATCCAGGATTTAGAACTCTGATGTACCATGTCATTGTTCTATAAGCAAACCTACACACACACCAGTGGTTCTTTGACAAGAGCCAGTAGTGTCTGGATGCTGGGGAGGGTGTGCTCTCTTCTGAGGTCAGTGGCGTTCTCTCTGCAGCTTATTTGCTCAAACATGCACTTGTGTCAGTTTGTTCACGTTTCAGCGAAATTCAAGGTTATGTATGCCTTTGAATGTCATCTCTAGATGAAGTCAAAAAGAGGCGTGTATTTTCTGTTTTTGTTGGGTTTTTTTTTCTCCTAAACCATTCATTTTTTTCATGAACCTGACATTTCATGTTGGATTGTGTCTAGGGGTTTAGCCTTTGTCTGAACACTGGCTGACAAACGATGAATTTGGATGGAGTGCTGGTGAAATTAAATGTTTTGTGACGTTCAGCTGACAGGCATATGTACGGC